GTTCTTAAAGTAAGCACAAGTTGAAATATAAAGGGAATCTATGTCTGATTAAAAATAAAAGTGAGCCGAGACCAGTTTGGCTCAGTGGATAGAGCGTCGGCCTGCGGACTAAAAGGTCCCAGGTTCGATTCCGGTCAAGGGCATGTACCTTGGTTGCGGGCACATTCCTAGTGGGGGGGAGGGTGCATGAGGCCGCTGATCTATGATTCTCTCTCATTGATGTTTCTAACTCTCTATCCCTCTCTCTTCCTCTCTGTAAAAATCAATAAAATATATTAAAAAAAAAAAAAAAAAAAAAAAAAAGTGAGGTGCCCTGGCCAGTGTGGCTCAGTTGGTTGCATCATCCTATGCACTGAGAGGCTGCTGGTTCAATTCTCAGTCAGGGCACTTGTTTGGGTCTCAATCCCTAGTGTGCGGCTGCGAGAGGCAGCTGATGGATGTTCTGCTCTCACATCGATGTTTGTTGTTATTTTTTCCCTTTCTGCCCCCTTTCTCTCTAAAAATCAATAAAAATATTTTTAAAAATAAAAATAAGGTTTTCCCATGTTCTCCAATCATTTTTGAGCTCATTGAAAGAGCTCTTTCATTCATGTCCCTCTTACATTAAAGTAATAACTATTTGGATTACATTTTATTTCCTCTAAGTGTCATGCTTTTTTAATGAACATAATTCAGGAAGTTGACAGTGGACCAATAAGAAAATTTGGGTGGAAATATGAGGGGGAAAGAATTACCATTAATACTATCAAACAGTCAAACTAAATTTTCTTAACTGTTTAGTATGCGTAGGTACTGTGCTTAGGGCTTACACATATTACAATTAGTCTTCATAACAACCCCAAAATGAGGCAATAATATATCACCATGGAGAGCAGGGGTTCTGGAACTACTAATCAGTGCAGGTTTCTTATTAGGGTGATGAAAATGTTCTAAAATTAATAGTGTAATGGTTATATAAACTTAGTGACTATATTAAAAACCACTGATGTTGCCCTAGCTGGTTTGGTTCATGGATAGAGTGTCAGCCTGCAGACTGAAGGGTCCCAGGTTCGATTCTAGTCAAGGGCACATGCCCAAGTTGTGGCTTGATCCCCAGTAGGGAGCGTGCAGAAGGCAGCCGATTGATGATTCTTCCTCATCATTGATGTTTCTATCTCTCCTTCTCCCTTCCTCTCTGAAATCAATAAAAATACATTAAAAATTTTAAAAAGTAAAAACCATTGATGTATACTTTAAAAGGGTGAATTTTATGGTATATGAATTATATATTAACACATGCTTTCTATATATTTAAATGTATATTATAGAAGCAGACTGACCAAGTTGAAATCTTGAGAGAAACGATCTTGAACAAGTCTCTTAACCTCTCTGTGCCTCAGTTTTCCAAATCTGTCGATGGGTATATTAATACACCTATTTTGTGGGGGTGTTCTGAGGGTTAAATAAGATAATGCATGTAAAGAACTTAGCACAGTGTCTGGTCCTTTATAGATAAGAAAGCTGAGGATCAGAGAAATTTAGCAACTTGCTAAGGGCAAATGACCTTTAGCTAAATAGTACAGTTGGGCTTTGAACCCAGGTCTGGCAAGCCTCAACCTTCATGCTCTTTCTGCCAAGCATGTTTCTTTTCCAAAACAGGGATAAGACCCTCCCTAATCCTAGGCAGTAGTTACTCCTCCAGCACATTAAACCTGGGATTGAATAGAAAACCTGGGATTGATAAGAAAAACTTTGCTTGCAATCTTTCTCCATGTCTGGGCAAGCATCTTTCTTTAAAGGTTACTCTTTCAGCACATTGTGCCGAATCATCACCATAAACATATGTTTAAACATGTGCTACTAAAGGGCTTTATAAATAAGGGATCTTTTCTAATTAAGGACCATTTTCCTTCCAGGCACCAGACTCTGGTTTAGTCCAAATATCCTGAAGAGCACACAGGTGCATTTGTGTGCAGAGTTAATAAAATTCACCCCATCACATTCCTACACAGAAGATCCTGCCATAGAAGATGCTAAAAAAAGTTTGGGGCTATCATTTCTGTCCTTTCTTACTCCCTTCTCAATACTATCTTGTTAGAAGCTTTAGAAAGTCTTCCGCCAGCTGGTCTATTTTTTACATATTCATTTTCTTTGTATAATCCTAAATTGACCTTTACAACCTCATACAGACCTGTGCTCACCCTTCTACCAGTTTCTGAAGCACACAGTGAGCTAAGACTTGATGAAAAGGGCTTCAAGGTAAAAGATACACCCCCCCCCCCCCGCCCCGCTCCAAAAGTATGTCTTAGGGGCAAGAGCAAGGCTGGAGGCAAAACACACGACAATGGGTTTTGCTACTTGATCTTTCTTTACATTTACTAGTCCTTCCAAATGAGCAAAGATTTTGCTACATATATTCAACCACTGTCAAGAGGTAAATAGCTATGTGAGAAACCAAGATGGCGGCATAGGTAAACACCTGAAATTGCTGCCTTGCACAACCACTTCAAAACTACAACTAGCCCTAACTGGTTTGGCTAAAATAAAAAAATCTGATGAACAGAATAAACTGGTGAATACAATAGAATCAGGGGCATAGAAAGGGAGTGGACTGACAATTCTCAAGGGGGAGGGAAGGGATATAAGGGCTGCAGGAAGAGACTGGACAAAAATAGTACACCTATGGATGAGGAGAGTGGTGGGCAGAGGGTGGGGTGGGAACTGGGTGGGGGTGGGGGGAACAATTGTAATAATCTGAACAATAATGATTTATTTTTTTTAAATAAAAATAAAAACACTAGAGAAAAAAGAGGTAAATAGTTTTCTGTTCTAAATAAACTCTTTTCAATAATAGAGAAAGGCTGTGTAGAAATGGCCCTGTGCGGAAGATGACTGCCATGCCACTATTATTAGCATCTGGTAAGATGTGCCCTTTGTCTGGTTAGCTCCAGATAGTCTCTTATGTTAAGATCCAAAATGATTTTTTCTTCTCAACATATTATTATACCACATCTCTGACACTAATTCTTTATTTCTCCTTTAGGTAATTAATTCTACACTCGCAAGTTCCATTCCTTTCTGCCAGTTCACATTCATGTTCTGGCCCCTGTGGATTTTGGTTAACATCTGTTAAACCCGAACTGTAGGCCATTCCCTGAATAGCATATTCACATATTACAAGCAAACTGCTACAGGATTACATATAATGTTCTAGTCTCAACCTATGTTTTTGCCATTAATGTTTTAGGACAGTGAGATATATAGGTACCACACACCATATAAAGTCAAAGTAACGTATGACTTTGTTACAAGAATCAAGAAGCTTTAAAAATATAAGCCTAACCAATGGACACAGACAACAGGGGGGTGAGGACAGGAGTGAGAGGATGGGAGGGTAATGGGGGAATAAGGACACATATGTAACACCTTAATCAAAAAAGGAATTTTAAAAAAGAAAAAATGAAGTTAAGAATTTCAAGATAAGAAATATATAATATTTTCATTTGTTAAAGTTTGCTTTTAAAAAAACTTGAAATATATGAAGACCAAGTATGAGCTAGGAAAAGTAAAAATTTAATAAAACTAGTATCATCATGCACAAGTTAAATTTCTTTAAGGCCTATCTGTTCACTGAGATGAGATACAGTGACAGTAAAAGAATAAGTATGGGATTCTCAAACCTCAGAGGGAAGGTAGGGGAGGGTGGGGGAAAGAGGGAGAGATCAACCAAAGGACTTATATGCATGCATATAAGCCTAACCAGTGGTCACGGACAACAGGGGGGTGGGGGCATATATGGGGAGGGGTTTGGGGTAGGAATGGGGGGATGAGGACTATTATGTGACATCATAATCAATAAAAAATAAAATAAAATAAATAAATTGAATAAGTATGGGGAAAGTTTACAATTGGTCAAAAAGTTATAGCGCAAAATAGTTCATAAAGTAGTTGCAAATTTGACCTATTATTTTCTGAGAAAATAAAAGTCTGTACTTCTAATAAGATAAGGTAATTAACATTCACAGGGATGTTTCTGACCTTCTCAACCAGAATACCGAAAAGAAGGGAAGCATATGCTCTAAAGACATCCCCTCAAACTGTTGGAATTCAAAAAAATATATATATTCTACTTTTGAACCTTTTAAAAATGTGTTCCAATCCTGTTTTGTTTTGTTTTGTTTTGTTCCTTTTTTTAATCTTGCACACAGCTGTCTGTTGTACTTTTTAGAATCATGCCAGCTGCTGGGTTCATCGAGCAAAGGCAGGGAAACAATGGTTTGAAAGTAATTAGAAGCTCATATTAAAATGTGATAACACCGTTCTGGTGGGAATTTCAGCACCGCTCCCTTTCTGACATTTCTCTCCTGCCAGACAGGCCGGCTGCGGGGAAGAGCACTGGAGTTTATTTCTGGAGCAAATGAAGGAATGGCCAGGCTGGAGCCCTCCCAAAGCTTTTATGATGGACGTGGCTACCATTTCATTTGAATGCCAGTGGATCCTGTTGGCCTCTAACAAAGCTCAAGAAATAATGGCATCTTAGAGTTTTAGCTCTATAAAGTAATCTGGCACCGATCCACTCAGAAAGATGACGCATCCAAGGCTCTTGTGACTGAAAAGCAGGGCAGGGGGCCCAGCAGGATGAAGGTCCATTAAACACTCCGCTAACTTCCCCAGAAATGGCCGAAACCGGTTTGGCTCAGTGGATAGGCCTGCGGACTGAAAGGTCCCAGGTTCAATTCCGGTGAAGGGCGGGCACATCCCCAGTAGGGAGTGTGCAAAAGGCAGCTGATCAATGATTCTTTCTCATCGATGTTTCTAGCTTTCTATCCTTCTCCCTTCTTCTCTATAAAAAAAAAAAATCAATAAAATATATTTTTTTAAATAAAAAATAAATTTAAAAAAAATAACTTTCTCAGAACTGGCTAGTGCCATCTGTGGAGAAGCTTTTTCAGAAGAGACAGAAGTAAACAATACCATCTCTACATTCTTAGAGTGAAACCATCACTGGTCAGAGTACTCACCTTGGGGCTGAAAATCCCAATAGTACCTGAAAAACACAAGAAAAAGAATGCAGGTGAGTCAAACCTGTATTTCTCAATCTGGGTGGCATATGGTAGCTATAGCATCCAGTCCAAAAAGCTTGCTAAGTAGTCAGTAACTAGCCAAAGCCACTACCCACTTTGACAAGATCCAAAGGGACTTGAAAGATTCTCAAAGTCTTGAAAGCGGCATTTACCTCACTATAACTCCTTAGATAAATTTGCCCACATTGCTGGAAATGTCCTAAGACCGTGATCGGCAAACTCATTCGTCAACAGAGCCAAATATCAACGGTACAACGATGGAAATTTCTTTTGAGAGCCAAATTTTTTTAAATATATTTTATTGATTTTTTACAGAGAGGAAGGGAGAGAGATAGAGAGCTAGAAACATCGATGAGAAAGAAACATCGACCAGCTGCCTCCTGCACACCCCCTACCGAGGATGTGCCTGCAACCAAGGTACATGCCCCTGATCGGAATCAAACCCGGGACCTTTCAGTCCGCAGGCCGACGATCTACCACTGAGCCAAACCGGTTTCGGCTTGAGAGCCAAATTTTTTAAATTTAAACTTCTTCTAAAGCCACTTCTTCAAAATAGACTCGTCCAGGCTGTGGTATTTTGTGGAAGAGCCACACTCAAGGGGCCAAAGAGCCACATGTGGCTTGCAAGCCACAGTTTGCCGACCACTGTCCTTAGAGGTTTGCTAGCCATGAACCAGGGTTTCTCATAGAAGCTTATAGACTCGGAGCAGGACAATTCTTTGTTTGTGACCACCTGTCTCGTGTATTATAGGACAAGCAGCATCGCTGGTCCTGGTCATTGAATGCCAGTGGCACCTCCAATACACCCCCTCCCCCCAACACATTCTCAAATACTTCTGGGCCTAAATGATTCTTAAATCTTACAGGTCAAGCATGAGCAACTGACAAGGTCATCACACATTTTAGTATCTGAGCGAAGTTTGGGGCTCTTGAAGGCTCCTGCCATCTCCTTTTTTATTTGGGGAAATGATTGGCAAAACTAACCCTTAACGCCTTGAAACCAATGAGACCGCAGTGGTAGGATCATTGTAAAGTCACTTATTTGGAATCTAAATTGCATCCCCTCCTTCCAAAACGATGTTCTATATGGTGGCTACCCACAAAAGTCTATTGTGTTTTGGATCCCATTTCCTCCTGCCTTTACAGGAAGCTCACACAATTTCTGTATTGATTTTCTCTTGTTTATAATCAACCTCTTCCTCTCAACGTGTCCCTTTCCATCAGCATTTATGTTAATATAAAAATAAAGCGAACCTTCCCTCATCCTCTTAAAATCCCTCCTTCTTGGCTGTCTCCCTTTTCCCTCACATCACCGTGACGTTTTCAAAAGTTTGTCTATAGTTTGATCTCTTTATTTCCTCATCTCCCACTCATTTCTCAACAAAGTCCAATCTCGCTTACAATCACCACATGTTATTTCTTGCTGTGGACATAGTGACCCTCCCATACCACTAAGTAGAGTGGATATTTCTTAACTTCATCTTGACCTCCCAAGAGTTATATGTGTTTCTCCCCCGCCCCTTGGCTAGAGAGTCACAGTTTTATCGAATTCTTAAAAGAATCTATTACCTGCCCCTCCCCATCCCCACCTCCGGCAAAAAAACAACAACAACAACAACAAAAAAAAAAACACTAACAGAAGGGCACAGGTGATAATTGTGTATCTTCAGTACATACATGACTGAAATAATGTGTGACCACTTTAGGGAGAAACATTAGCTCAGTGAGTATCTAGGGTATTTATTAATAAGATAAAATTTCAGAAAATGGAGAGGAAGGAAATCAGGGGGGCAGAGGTTGCCATAATCCAGTAATGAATCTGTGGGAAATGATCAGATGACAAGGAGAAGATGGAGAGGAAACCTCATGATTGGCTTTTCTTTTTCCCCTCCTTTCCCAGAACAGTTCTGGGCTGGCAATCAGGTGAAGGGAAAGGAAAGATGCCTGGGTTAGATGGCAGGGAGAGTGAAAGACAGCTTTGGCAGCTGCAGTGGAAAGGAAGAGGGAGTAAGAGGAGAAAGGGGTGGGAAATGTAAAGCTGTAGCATCTGGGAAGGCGCCCATGTGGATGTAGGGACGTGCACACAGGAACTGGCATGATGGGCCAATCTCCACCAGCAGACAATGCAGCTCCACTGTACCTGCTGGCCACTGTGAAGAGTTTTCCATGAAACTCCTTTCTGTAAATACAGCTAACCAAGCTCATCATAAAAGGCCTGAGCAGCCGAAACTGGTTTGGCTCAGTGGATAGAGCATCGGCCTGCAGACTCAAGGGTCCCAGGTTCAATTCCGGTCAAGGGCATGTACCTTGGTTGCAGGCACATCCCCAGTAGGGGGTGTGCAGGAGGCAGTTGGTTGATGGTTCTCTCTCATCGAGGTTTCTAGCTTTCTATCCCTCTTCCTTCCTCTCTGTAAAATATCAATAAAAATATATATATATATATATATATATATATATATATATATATTTAATCATTTTTTATTTCAGCCTCTTCTTTTGTCCTCTCTCCTCCATAAGCCCCACTCCAACTCACACACATAGTTTCAGTCCCCTCCTCTACCTACATAATGTGCCTCTGGCCTTCCCACTTCTCTTGTTAGTTAGGAAGATGTTTTAGGTTCAGACACTAAGAGTAGTGCTTCTGCCAATAGCTGTGACTTAAGACAGCTGATTATATTTGAAAAAAGATTAGATGTAACAGTATCAAATATAGTAGGTTTATCTTGATGTTAAAAAGCAGAATCTGCTTTATTGTTGATAATACTGTAATTAAATACTTCTGTCAATAAAAATCATATGTAGAACTAAAGTGAGATGACATGAAGTGGAATGTTAGTTCCCTTATTTTTCAGAAGTTACAAAATTATCCTGTTACCCTACCTCCTTTTTCCCCTCTCTTCTTACTCTAAGTATTAATTAGTAATGACCCTAAAGAAAGTCTATTCACACACACACACACACACACACACACACACACACACACACACACACAGTTCACAGAGGATACTTCTAAAAGGCAAGGCCAAAAGGTGAGCAACCTCATTCCTCAGTGGAGGAGCCACGGATTATTCTCTGCTGGACACACTTAAGGTCTTGATCTTGTCTTGTTAAACATAGCCTATGGGTTGCCTTCATCACATTCTTTGGAAAGATGATTCCACACTAGAGAATTCTATATACACTCTTTAGGTGGCAGTTAGTCAAATCCTGCCAAAATCTTCTAATTTTTATCCTTCACTTTGAAAACAATTATCCCATAGCCAGAGACCCCAAAAAGTCTGAAACTAAAATTTTGAACCCAAATGCAAAGACCACATTAGAAATATATGAAAGCCAAGCGCATGCACACACACACACACACACACACACACACACTTGTGTTTATCCTAAAAGCCTCTGAGAATTTCAAAGCAGGCCTGTGCATATAGATAACAAATACTTCTTTAATCTTCTCTTTGAAGCTTTGGCTTCAACGTGAAGGGGAAGCTATCACTCCTCTGTAATAGTCATATTCAACATTATCAGGTCCATGCAAATAAGATTTGAAACTAGAAAAAGATGAGTACAGAATGAGCAGAGAGAAAATGCTGAAACCATAGTGGTAATTATTTTTCACAATCAAAATCAATACATATTTTGCTTCCAAAATTAAAAATGAAAGAATAAAAATCCACAACATTAAGTTTACTCTACAAAATAGTCTTGAACATTTAGGGTTAAATATTACGTGCAAGGCAAAGTGTGTAATACATGTTTTAAATTAAAGAGGTTTCAATTGAACATTATTGATTTACTTTTATTATTAAAGTATAGTTGACACATATTATAATGGTTTCAGGTGTACAACTTCATAAGGTACATAATATTTATATTATGTACCTTATGAAGTGATTACCATGATAAGTAGAATAACCATCTGTCACCTTACAAAGTTATTATGATATTATTGACTATATTGCCTATGCTGTATATTACATCCCTATGACTTATTCATTTTATAACGGAAGTTTGTATTTTTCCATCCCCTTTATCTTTTCACCCTTCCTTCAATCCCCTTTAATTGAGCTTTAGTTTAAGGAAAGGTACAACAAATAAATTGAACCCACTGTATTGTTATAATTATGGTAATATAATAATAACAATGTTAAGATATTTTGAACACATTGTTGGACACTGTTCTAAGCAGTTCTCTTATATTAACTTACTCCCCCCTCAACTCTAACCCTATTATTATGCTCATTTTCTAAATGAGGAAACTAAGGCATCAAGAGGTGAGATAACTTGCCCAGAATCACACAGCTAGCAAATAAGGCAAACAAGTTACCAATCCTAGCAACTAGTTCCAGAATAGGTATTCTAATAATAAATTATGGAGGTAAAACAAACAACTGTAACTATCCTCATATTGGAAATATCTATGAAGAAAAATAATTCTATTTCCTAACTATAGTTTTAAAATGAGCATATTCTGTATTTAATATAAACATTGATATTGTTTATTTTATTTAATGTATTATTTTATTTAATTTACATGTATTATTTTATTTAATTTTCATCACAACCTTATGAGGTCAGTACCATTATTATTCCCATTTTATAGTTAAGAAAACTGAGACTCAGGAAGGTTAATAAACTTGATCAAAAATCATGAAGCTATTAAGTGGCAGAACCAAGATTTGAACCCAGGTCTACTTTCTTCCAGAGCACAAGCTCTTAAATTCCATATTAACTATTTTTCAATTGGCTGTAATATTTAAAAAAAAAAAAAAGTACTAAGAGAAAATATAATTATTCTGTCAGACAACCTATTCTCAGAGGGTACATAGATCAGAGGTCTTTAACTTGAAGTCAGTCCATAGTTGAGCTTTGGGAAATAAACATTATGTTCTCTTACTCCCTATAAGTGAAAAGTAATATGTGTTTTCTTTTCTCTTGAAACATAGTCCAAAAACTTCATTAGATT